TAGGTGAGGTATACTGTGTCGGGTGAGGTATACTGTGTCGGGTGAGGGTATTCTGTGTCAGGTGAAGGTATTCTGTGTCAGGTGAAGGTATTCTGTGTCGGGTGAAGTATACGTCGGGTGAGCTGGTGAAGGTATACTGTGTCGGGTGAGGTATTCTGTGTCGGGTGAGGGTATACTGTGTCGGGTGAGGTATACTGTGTCGGGTGAAGGTATACTGTGTCAGGTGAGGTATACTGTGTCGGGTGAAGGTATCTGTGTCGGAAGGTATCTGTGTCGGGTGAAGGTATACTGTGTCGGTGAAGGTATACTGTGTCGGGTGAGGGTATACTGTGTCGGGTGAAGGTACTGTGTCGGGTGAAGGTATTCTGTGTCGGGTGAGGGTATACTGTGTCAGGTGAAGGTATTCTGTGTCGGGTGAAGGTATTCTGTGTCGGGTGAAGGTATACTGTGTCGGTGAGGGTATACTGTGTCGGGTGAGGGTATACTGTGTCGGGTGAGGGTATACTGTGTCGGGTGAGGGTATACTGTGTCGGGTGAAGGTATACTGTGTCGGGTGAAGGTATACTGTGTCGGGTGAAGGTATACTGTGTCGGGTGAGGGTATACTGTGTCGGGTGAAGGTATACTGTGTCGGGTGAAGGTATACTGTGTCGGGTGAAGGTATACTGTGTCGGGTGAGGGTATACTGTGTCGGGTGAAGGTATACTGTGTCGGGTGAGGGTATACTGTGTCGGTGAAGGTATACGGTGAAGGTATTCTGTGTCGGGTGAGGGTACTGTGTCGGTGAGGGTATACTGTGTCGGGTGAAGGTATACTGTGTCGGGTGAAGGTATACTGTCGGGTGAGGGTATACGTGTCGAAGGTATTCTGTGTCGGGTGAAGGTATTCTGTGTCGGGTGAAGGTATACTGTGTCGGTGTCAGGTCATTAATCTGCTTCCGTAATGAGGTGACATTGTCTCCTTCCGCGTGGTCTGTGCCACGGCTGGAATGACACACACACACACACACACACAGACACACACACACACACACACACACACACACACACACACACACACACACACACATACACATACACACACACGTCTTTATTCTCTCTCATAACTCACAAATTCTGAAGGTTTTACTGGAACATTTGCATACACTTGTTGGCCCAAAGACTAATGCGTCGGTAGAGTCGAGGTTAATTAACACTGCCATTGAGGGGTTGTGGAAAGTGTGTTGTTTGAGGACTTGATGTTGGTGCCAAATTGCTCCAGCCTAACCTAACCTAACCTAGTCCTGCGTAACTCTCACCTAACCTAGTCCTAGCGTAACTTCACCTAACCTAGTCCTGCGTAACTTAAACTAACCTAGTCTAACCTAACTCACAAACCTAACCTCAATCCTAGTCCTGCCTAACCTGACCTACTCCCGCTTAACTTCTTAACCAACCTAGTCCTGCGTAACTTAAACCAACCTAGTCCTGCGTAACTTAACCCAACCTAGTCCTGCGTAACCCAACAGTCCCGCGTAACTTAACCTAACCTAGTCCTACGTAACTTAACCTAACCTAGTCCTGCGTAAACCCACCTAACCTAGTCCTGCGTAACCTAACCTAACAGTCCTCGAATTAACCTAACCTAACCCCACCTAACGAAAGATCTTGTGTTGTAGAGCCATATATATATTTATTATCTTTAGAGAGCATTACCCCGACACTCGCTGCTTTATGTCACAGTTAAGGCGAAGTTGGAAATGATTTGTGGGCTCAGTGTCTAGCGCCGGCGACCAGTAAAGATAAAACCTTGTACAGCAATTGAGGTTGGTAGTGAGGTTAGGGTTAGGTTAGGTTAGGTTGAGGTTGGGTAAATTAGGTTGAAGTTTTGGGTTGGTTAGGTTGTTGGGGTAAGTCAAGCCAGGGGTTGTGGTAGGTTAGGTTGACAGGTTAGGTAAAAACAAGAGGTAGTTCGGGCAATAGTGCTCCAGGTAGTTCGATACATGACCTGTGGTGGAATGTGCCGAGGCTGCTGTTCACTGTACATAATTGATCACTAATAGAGCCTCGTGAATGGCCAGGAAGGAAAATCAACAAAATGTAAAAAGAATTGATGTCGTATTTACTGTTAAGTTCAGGAGGTGAGAGTTTACACCTGTGGGGAAGTATGTACACGTCATGGTGTCTAAGTTACCTGTATCGTGGAGAGTGTAGTAGTGACAGGTGTAGTGGTGATAGGTGTGAAAGGACAGGTGTAGTGGTGATAGGTGTAATAGTGACAGGTGTAGTGGTACAGTTGTAGTAGTGACAGGTGTAGTGGTGACAGGTGTGGTAGTGATAGATGTAATAGTGACAGGTGTAGTGGTGACAGGTGTAGTAGTGACAGGTGTAGTGGTGATAGGTGTATAGTGACAGGTGTAGTAGTGACAGGTGTAGTGGTGACAGGTGTTGTAGTGACAGGTGTAGTACTAACAGGTGTATAGTGACAGGTGTAATAATAACAGGTGTAGTACTATAGGTGTAGTGGTGACAGGTGTAGTGGTGACAGGTGTAGTGGTGATAGATGTAATAGTGATAGGTGTAGTGGTGACAGGTGTAGTAGTGACAGGTGTAGTGGTGACAGGTGTAATAGTGACAGGTGTAGTACTAACAGGTGTAGTACTAACAGGTGTAATAGTGACAGGTGTAGTACTAACAGGTGTAGTACTAATAGGTGTAGTGGTGACAGGTGTAGTGGTGACAGGTGTAGTACTAACAGGTGTAGTACTAATAGGTGTAGTGGTGACAGGTGTAGTGGGACAGGTGTAATAGTGACAGGTAATAGTAACAGGTGTAGTAGTAACAGGTGTACAGCTGACCCGGTTTATCATTTAGTCAATTTCTCGATCAGTTAACCACACCTCACTGCCTGACGCAACTATGTATACGATATCGGCGCCACTTAACATACCACCACCTCATTTTCAACCACAAGCTACAGGTAACTCTACCAGCTGTCGTAGTAAGAGTCGAGTAAAAACAGACACACGAGAACGGTCAGTAAACAAAACGAGAGACTTGTGGTCGTGTGTTATTCATGCCGGGAGGAACGCAATGGAGCCTCGACGACACCTGCTGCAGTGTTAGTCCTATCCTCTCCGGGGTGTTACCTTGAAGGAAATAAAAACAAGGCGGAGGAGGGGGTGGAAAGAGGGAGGGGGGAAAAGAAGGATGGAGGTAAAGATGGAAGGTCAGATGGTAGGAATGAGAGGGAGGGAGGGCAGAAAGGAGAGGTGGTAATTGGGATGATAGGAAGGAAAGGAGGAGTAGAAGGAGGAAACGATGGAGGATGAGAGGGGATGAAGGAAAGGGAAGAGGGAATGAAGGAAACGAAAGAGGAGGAGAAGGAATACACAAGTAGAGTTGTATTAGAGTTTAGTGAGCTTCTTCTTGTTCCCACAGGTACTCCCAATAAAGGCGTTTATGTTACAGTAAAGTGTTAAGACTCTCAAGTGTGTGAGTGTAATGAAAGTGGAGAGTGACCTCTTTCCCTTCCTCCAAGTTTTCCCGCGGTTTGTCTGTCTGGTCTCCCTGTGTTGACTTTACCCAAGGAAAAAATAAGAGCGGGGCAACAATTGTTTTGGCAGCCTTTTGTGGGTCGTTTTGTAGCGTCAGAAAAGTGTTTTATGTTGGCGGCTTGACAAGAAGCATGACCAGCGGTGCCCGAGCTTACCTGTCCGGGCTGACCCACTCTACCTGTGATGCTAGTTATGGTAGTTTGTTGCGTCTTATTGTCACACACACACACACACACACACACACACACACACACACACACACACACATATATATATATATATATATATATATATATATATATATATATATATATATATATATATATATATATATATATATACATACAAGCATACATAAATACATACATACATACATACATACATACATAACATACACTTACTTTGCTGTCACTTAGAATCTGGAGCCCGGCAACGCACTGGTACAAAATTATCCTAGAAACTGTCTTCTTACCGAGATGTCAGGCCCCTTTTGGGATCCCCATTCCTACCACAGGTCTCCTCTCCTGCGGCCGTCGTTGTATTGTGAGAAAAGTTAGCAGGACTCGTCTCTAGAGAGTGATTGGTTCGTCTTCTAAACCACCACCACCACTAACTAACGTCTCTCTTTGTCTCACTAAATACACCTAACACACACACACAATGGCGTCTATAAAGTACTGAGACTACCAGTTTTTCTCTCACTCTCGGCTGAGGAAATGAGTTTCACAGTTGAGAGTGAGAGGTTGGGGTCGGTGTTTCTTTTGGTCCCCCCCTCACTCGCTGCAAGTCTGGTTAGTGAACATACATACATACATACATACATACATACATACATACATACATACATACATAGCAGACTGTAGTGACCTGTGTTGTGCATTAAAAAAGTGATCCTCGGTCGCCGTGTTCACTTGGTCGTTAAGAGAAATTCATTAATTCGTTGCCGTGAGGAGGCGACGTTCTCTCCCTTTCCGCTCGGTCTGTGTCACGGCCGGAATGCCATACACACACTCAGGTCTCACACCCAACTCTTAAGAGCTTCTCACGTATTCAGAAAGCCAACATCGTTTATCAGACTTCCTGGCGACACTCGGGATTAAACTACGCGAGCAAACTGTTGTATCTTGAGAGGGGGGAATTATTTTTTTCTTTTTAGGGAGAAGTTCCGTAATTCTTGAGTGTTGGCTCGTGTCCTTCCCGAGAACACGACCGGGTGGGGTGGGATGGGGCGGGGCGGGGTAGGGTGGTGGAAACGCGACAATCTGAATATAAGGAAATTGACGTGATGATGTTTATTGAGGGTGTAGAGAGTAAACAAGTGTAGAGGCATAATGCTGATTTGTTCTGTGTGGAGTGTTGACATAGATGGGACGGCAGTGTGGCCAACAGGTTACCCATTGTGGCCCAGTAAGTCTCTTGTCAGGCGCCTGCAGAAGGCCACCGCTCGCTCCTATTACTCGTAACATTTTTACCCACTTTTATTGTTTTTTTGTTTGTTTATCGATTCCTGTTGTTGTTTTGAGTAGTTGTTCATAAGGATTCGACTCAATTGAATGTACCCAACCCAACCCAACCCAACCCAACTCAACCAAATAGAATTATTCTTTACGACACAAATTTGTGATATAGCAACATTATGATCCTGTTTTGCTGTTTTTTGTTAAGATTTTTATATTTCATTCTTAATTTCCTGGATTGAAAGAAGTGCATTAAGCCTCCCAACATAACAAAGGAGAGAAAGAGTACTAAAAGGAACACACGGCGAAGAGGAAAGTTTAGATAATGGATTAAGTTAATGGATTAAGTTAATGGATTAAGTTAGTGGATTAGGTTAATGGATTAAGTTAGTGGATTATTTAAATATGATGACGTCTTCTTCACACTTTTGAATATTACCCAATAAAGTTTATTTCACCTGATGATTAAACACCCTAACCTAACCTAAAGGTATATGGCAGGTGTCTATTACTGTAGGGACCAGAAGGTGAACTTGAGGGCTGCTGTTGGTGCATGAAGGGAGGGACACACACACACACACACACACACACACACACACACACTGTACGTTAATCTTGACTTGGTGTACATGAAAGAGGTCAGCGGAGGTGGCTGTTGTGGAGGAGGAGTCAGTTTAGTGTTGGAGGTTGAGTGTAGGGGAAGGTGGGTTGGGGCGAGGTGAGGTGGAGGGGGGTTGTGGTGTGGGGGGGGGGCGACTCTAACGTTATTACTGGGTCTTATAGTGACACAGGTAATTATCTAGACCAGGTAGGTAAATGAACCTGTCTGAAACCATGACCACACCTGGGTAATATACTGTATGTCAGGGAGAGGAACTGTGAGTTAGAGGAGCCTTGTGACCCAGATGTGGTGTGGTATGGTGTGGTGTGGTGTGGTGTGGTATGGTTTGGTGTGGTGCGGTGTGGTGTGGTGTGGTGTGGTGTGGTGTGGGGTGTGGTGTGGTGTGGTGGTGCGATGTGGTGTGGTGCGGTGTGGTGTGGTGTGGTGTGTGTGGTGGTGTGGTGTGGTTGCGGTGTGTGGTGTGGTGTGGTGCGGTGTGGTGTGGTGCGGTGTGGTGTGGTGTGGTGTGGGGTGTGGTGTGATATGGTGCGGTGTGGTGTGGTGCGGTGTGGTGTGGTATGGTGTGGTGTGGTGCGGTGTGGTGTGGTGCGGTGCGGTGTGGTGTGGTGTGGTGCGGTGCGGTGTGGTGCTGTGCGGTGTGGTGTGGTGCCGTGTGGTGTGGTATGGTGCGGTGTGGTGTGGTGTGGTGTGGTGTGGTATGTGTGTGGTGCGGTGCGTGTGTTGTGGTGCGGTGTGGTGCGGTGCGGTGTGGTGTGGTGGTGGTGTGGTGTGGTGAGGTGTGGTGCGGTGCGGTGCGGTGTGGTGTGGTGTGGTGTGGTGAGAGGAAAGACCAACAATGTGTAGAATAACGCCGAGGATTTATTAATGGTTTGTTTTACTCTTGTTTTTCCTCATAAATATCACCACACGTCATTATCTCAGCGTCACACAGTCACCGTAACAACAGAGCATCACCGTCACTCAACGTCTTACCGGTGTCCCCGTCCCCCTCGTCCCCCTCCCCCTCGACCCCCCCGTCCCTTAGGTAGAGGTCACCCGCTGAACGATATACAGTAGACCTCGCCAGGGGAACAGGACTGGGACTATGGGATTGGCTTTTCTTGATAACACAAATAATTCTCCTTGTTGACAAAAAGGGAATTCGAACCCAGACCGACAAACACACTAGGCCTAAGACATCTAGTAGAGAGACCTAACACCTACTGACGATAGTTGAGATCGTCGTGTACATCGTCTTCCCTTCATCCACACCCACAGGTTCACATGAGACACACACACACCTTAGGGGGGGACAAATTACATTGTTACTGTAAATTTTCCAATGTTTTACTATCTACTTCGAAACTCTTGTTGGTTCTATGTAAACACGTTGCCTTGACTCTCATTAGCGTGTCTTTATTGATGTATTCAGAGATGATGTTTTAATTCTCTAGTGCTTCTTGGATGATCTTATTAGGTTAGGCTAGGTTAGGTTAGGTTAGGTTAGGTTAGGTTATATTATATTAGGTGAAAGAAACTGGGGTGGCTAATCTTCAGGTGATCCGTACTCTTTGTTGATAGAAGTGTAGTCTAGGGTAGCAAGGTGTAAATCAGGGTGTTGTATAGGGTGTAAATCAGGGTGTAGTCTAGGGCAGCAAGGTGTAAATCAGGGTGTTGTATAGGGTGTAAATGAGGGTGTTTAATAAGGTGTAAATGAGTGTTTTATAGGGTGTAAATCAGGGTGTTTTATAGGGTGTAAATCGGGGTGTAGTCTAGTGTAGTAAGGTGTCAATCAGGGTGTTGTATCGGGTGTAAATCAGGGTGTTGTATAGGGTGTAAATCAGAGTGTAGTCTAGTGTAGTAAGGTGTAAATCAGGGTGTTGTATCGGGTGTAAATCAGGGTGTAGTCTAGGGTAGCAAGGTGTAAATCAGGGTGTTGTATAGGGTGTAAATCAGGGTATAGTCTAGGGTAGCATGGTGTAAATCAGGGTGTTGTATAGGGTGTAAATCAGGGTATAGTCTAGGGTAGCAAGGTGTAAATCAGGGTGTTGTATAGGGTGTAAATCGGAGTGCAGCCTAGTGTAGTAAGGTGTAAATCAGGGTGTTGTATAGGGTGTAAATCGGAGTGTAGTCTAGGGTAGCAAGGTGTAAATCGGGGTTTTGTCTAGTGTTTTGGTAATGATTCGTACATAAGTTTTGCCCACAAAGTTGTATAGAGAAGTGTGAGAAAACTTTTGGAAGGTGTTGAAAAAAATGAGATATTTACTGCCACTCATCACCATCATCGTCATCACCATCATCATCTTCATCATTATCATCATCACTATCATCATTACTACCATCATCATCATCATCATCATCATTATCATCATCATCACTACCATCATCATCATTATCATCATCCTCACTACTATCATCATCATTATCATCATCACTACCATCATCATTATCATCATCACTATCATCATCATCATCATCACCTACCATCATCATCATCATCATCATTATTATCATCATCATCATCACTACCATCATCATCATCATCATCATCACTATCATCATCATCATCACTACCATCATCATCATCATCATCATTATCATCATCATCACTACCATCATCATCATTATCATCATCATCACTACTATCATCATCATTATCATCATCACTACCATCATCATCATTATCATCATCACTATCATCATCATCATCACTACCATCATCATCATCATCATCATCATTATTATCATCATCACTACCATCATCATCATCATCATCACTACCATCATCATCATCATCATCATCACTACCATCATCATCATCATCATCATCACTATCATCATCACTACCATCATCATCATCATCAAGTGTTGTTCGTGAACTTGGTTGAAATAAGTAGGACACATTGATGAATTTGAAGAAAGTTGACTACATTTGTTGGTAGTCTCTCCTGCCTTCCATCCCCTGCCGTCTGCCCCGCCCCGTCCCCGCCCCACCCCAGCCTCTGCCCCGCCCCACCCAGCCTCCGCCCCCGCCCCGCTCAGCCCTCGCCTCGCCCAGCCCCCGCCCCCTGCCTGCAATCTGCCATTAAGTTTTGTGTATGTAGCGTGAAATTGGTTAGGGTTAGAGTCTGTGGTATAGAATGACCAGGTAAATAGAAACGAGTGAGAGGTGTGAAGGGGCTCTCAACAGGTGTGGAGGAGGATGCAGGTGTGGAGGAGGGTGCAGGTGTGGAGGAGGGTGCAGATGTGGAGGAGGAGTCGGGTGTGGGTGTGTAAGAGGAGGAAGGTGTTGCTTTGGGGGAGGAGGAGGAGGAGGGTATGGATGTGTAAGAAGAAGGGGGTGTGGATGTGTAGGAGGACGGAGGTGTAGGTGTGGAGTAGGAGGGTGAGGGTGTGAGTGTGGAGGAAAAAGGTGTGAGTGTGTAGGACGGGGTGTGGAGGAGGGGTGTGTGGATATTGAAGGGTCGTTCTGGATGACATAAAGATTGCGAACTAGTTAGGTTAGGTCAGGTAAGGGTACGTCAGGTTAAGGTTTGTTAAGAACATAAGAAAATAAGGAGTTTGCAATAGGCCGGTTGGCCTGTGCATGACAGCTCCTGTCGAGAGTTACTACCACTCTATCATCCATGAATCTATCTAGCCTCCTTTTAAAAGTTTCCAGCGTTTCAGCACTTACTACAAAGTTGCTAAGCTTGTTCCACTCGTCTACCACCCTATTTGTGAACCAGTTCCTTCCTATCTCCCTCCTAAACCTAAACTTATCCTACTTAAATCCGTTGCTACGAGTCCTATCGTGCTCGGATATGATAAGAACTGTATCTATATCTCTTTATTGATTCCTTTCACCCACTTAAATACTTCTATCATATCTCCCGTACTCTTCGTCTTTCTAGGGAATGCAAGTTTAGTTTCTTTAATCTATCTTCATATGGAAAGTTTCTAAATCCCGGAATCATTTTCGTCATTCTTCGCTGCACCTACTCCAGTGAATTGATATCCATTCTATAATAAGGGCACCATAACTGAACAGCATAACCGAGGTGCAGCCTGAATAGCGCAAGATATAATTGCAATATGACCTCCGCACTCTTATTACTTACACTTCTAGATATAAACCCTAATACTCTGTTTGCCTTATTTTGACCATTAACCCACTATTTTCTAGGCCGAAGGTCCGGGCTTACAAGTACCCCTAAGTCTCTTTCACAAGTCAACTTCTCTAGGTTGACATTGTTAAGGCTGTATACATTGACAGTCTTTGTTCTTCCAATAATAAGTACGCTACACTTGCTGGTATTGAATTCCATTTACCATTTTTCTGACCACTCCTGCAGTTTATTTAAATCCTCCTGTAGTGCATTTGCATCCTGCCCTGAATTAATCTGCCGCCCTATTTTGGTGTCATCCG